ATTTGATCTGCACAGTCCACTTGTGCATTACTTTCTAATCCATTGGATTATCTTCTTTTCACTGTCTTTATTTTCTGTTTCCGTGGGGTACCCATTTACTCTTGTGTTTCTTCAAATTAATCTCTGAAATCCATTTTTTCCCCAAATTCATTCCAGACACATCTCTGCATAACTTCGCGTGCTCTAATCGCATCCCTTGTTCCTTGTAAAATTCCTGGTAGCAGTCTCAGGAAACTCTGTCCATTAGTTCACACTGAAATATGAGTTTATAACTTTTCTGGAGCTCTTTTTCTACACTTCTATTATGCTCATTTTCTTCCCTTTTTTCCATCGGGTATGCTCTGCCTGCTCTAAAAGCAGACTTCTTTCCTCTACCCCTGCTTAAATGAGGTGGATTTTCCTGGCCCTTTGAAGATGGTTCCTAACTAAAGGGGCCAGGCCAGCTCAGCTCTCCCAGCTGGACTCCACCGATCTACAGAAGGTCCAGAGCAGTAATTCTGCTGGTAGCCACTTTGTTATTTCTCCCGGTAAAGACCAGCATCTTGGGTACGTCAGGAAGAGCTGGTACCTCCCCTTCTGTGCTGGAGCTTAGGGCTGCAGTTCCGCTGCTCCAGCACCCTTCTTTTCCCCCAGGGCTGTGCTCTCCGCAGGTGGCCTCATCTTTGTCCAGTGAGTTCCTGGGCCTCGGTTTGGGGGGTCAGGAAGGCTCCCTCATGACCTTCACCTTCTGAAACGCGTCTCTCCAGCCTATTGGGGTGTGTATTTCAGGCAGGCTCCCTGTGCACTTCCAGGTTTTTCTGGACACAATGTTGCTTCTCCCACATCCCCAGCTGTTTGTTGCTCTCACCCATACAGTGATGGGCAGGACTTTGCCAGTCACCTTCATCCCTGCCAAGGCTTCTGCTCCACTTGAAGGATAAATGATACCTGGTGCTTTTCGCTTCCACGGATTATCAATAACTCACTCTTACTTCCAGTCCCTCTTGCACACAGTCACCTTGCTTTGGCAGGCCCTGCTGTAGTCCCTGGGGGTCCCAGGGGTGGGGAGGACTCCTCAACATTCCAGTGACCATTGTGTCCAAGCTTGGCTTTCAGGAGCTCAGAGGACAATGAAAAACCACTCCTGCCTTGAACGGATGGTATAAAGCAAAGGACAATGGACAGAGAGCCACAACCAGGCTGAATCCAGTCAGGCTGCCAGAATGGCCAATATCAACCCTAACTCTCGGGCAATTTCAATCCAGCCTGGAAACCAGACATGGGCATCCTAACACGGACAGCCATGGCACAGATGGCACAGGTGAGGGAGGAAGCCAGTGTGGATGGCCCTGTTCTCACAGGACAGTAAGGCTCGCCAGGAGGTCACTGACTCTGAAACAGCCTCACAGGACCACAAGAACCTTGTCTGAAAACAAAGTCCTGCTGCTTCACACCGCGTGCAAAGTGCACACAGGATGAGTCAATGCAGGAATGTAGGAGGAAAATTAAGACAGAAGAACATTCAGAGTATTTGTAATGATGACCCTATTAACTCAGAGAAAAAAAAATTAAGGAACTGTGAGCTTTAGAAATGAATGGGCCTGTCATGAGTAAAGTGTTAGACGGGCCAGAGCTGGGGCACAGTGGGCAAGCTGCGCCCATGACGCTGCCATCCCACCACTGGAGCCCCAGCTTGAGTCCACAATACTCCTCCTCCCATTTAGCTTTTCTAACTTTTCTATCAGAGGAATAACAATGTTCAGGCTGCAGAGGGCAGGCGGGAGGAGGGCAGGCTCTCTGGCCGGATTCCTGAAGTGGTTCTACCTTCATCCCTTCCAGAAAGTGGCCCAGCACTGCCTAAGAACGTGCCACGTCTCAACACCCTCTCGCGGCAATTCCACTTGGAGAATTTCTCCTCGAAGGCGAGCTCCGGCATCTCCGGAGAGATCAGCAGCCTCATTTGTGAAGACACAGAGCTGACAGGATCAGAATATTCCCAGCTGTAGAAGAACAAATTCAACTCTAATCATTCCTCTTACAGTCTACTCCCCAGCCAGAAAAGGAATGGGTTAAAAAAAATAGTACCCGCCTGTAGCTGGGAATATTCATTGCACAATAAGTCACCGAGTAATGTGCATGATAGGATCCCATGTTTGCGGGCTCTTTTTTTTTTTTAAAGAAAATATATTTTGTGTTTGTAAAGCAAAGCATGGAAGGATGACACTAAACACCACTGGTAATACTGTGTACCTTTGGGTCCAGGATTGCAGTAAAGAAAGAAAGCATATTTTTTATACACATCTTTGTGTTCAGTTATTGCAGAAGTATATATTGCTTTGGAGGCATAAAAAAATCCAGTGCAGTTGGTTTTTAACAAACACACACACACAGAGAAGAAAGAGGTAGGCAGCTACCAATGAGTTTCTTTACCAACACGAACAACCGGCAATATGCATAATCCACAATGTGCCTGTCTCGGATGCCCTGGGCAGCAGTCACAGAAAGAAAGAAGTTGATCTAAAATGCTAACCCTGGTTAGTGTTCTAACCTGTGAACACAGGTCACTGGCAGACAGGCCAATGGACCCTGCTGGCTGGCTGGCTGGCTGGCTGGCTGGCGTGGCCTGGGACACACCACTGGCAGGTGGCCCCCAAATGACCCAAAGCACACAGCGCCCCCTGCCAGGCCTTCCTCCCCACCACCTTGCCTCCAATTCCCCCAGGGTCACACCTTCAGCTGTCTCCCCTGCCTGCACCTTGCCAGCTGTGACTTGTGCTAAGGGCTTGGGGTTGTGTCTCCCTGGTTACAAATAATGGGCAAAACCTTTAAGACACTCACCTGTGTTTACAGCACAGCAAAGTATAAACTGCTTTGTTAGGAATTTTTTTTTTCTTAAACAAGTTCACATCCTCCCTTATACTTTAGGTCACCTCTAGAGGACTTGTAATCCCCAATCAACAGACACTGTGCTAATGCTCTATGCTCTATTGTCGGGAATGACGGCCCCTTCCTTTAAAAACTCCGCACATGTTCAGTACAGATGCTGCTTTTTTTCCCCTAACATTTTCAATCCAAGACTGGGTTGAATCCAAAGAGGGGGACCCTCCCAGACCCAGAGGTGCCACTACAAGCAGAGAGAGAGCTTTAAAGCTGCCTGTTGCAGCTGCCATCTGAAGACAACAGCACACAATTAACAGCGACGTAAAAAGTGGGAAGGCGGGAGACAGGGTGAGGAGGAAACAAGTTATCTTAAAATGTCTAAAAACGTCAGCATCATTTGCTGGGTTCCCGGCTACTCCCCACAGCTGAAGGGAGAGTGGGCGCCACGCAGGACTCGGGCAGGGCGTCTGCTTTGGGAAACAGCTCATCACTGCCCAAGAGAAACGCTCTACAGGCAAAAGAATTCAGTTTGCCTTGTTTAATGCTTCAAAACGAGGCGCGCGCCTTTGTGGCACCCATGGCTTCTCTGTTGCTGCCTTCCTGCTCAGGTTTATCAGTAAGGGACCCGTTCTCTGCGCACCCTTGGGAGGGTCAGGGAGAGAAGCTAACTTCCCCAGCTGCCACCTGTAGGCTGCTCCCAGCTGCAAACCTCTGCCCATTAGACAGAGGTGCAAAACGATGCATGCTAACCAGCAACGTGAGCAACAGACTACACGTAGTGGAACCTGAGAGTCAGGGCTCCCCAGGTAGGGGCACTAACCACAGCCTGCTTCGTGTTCCCCAAGACACAGCCTTGGCCTGACACCAGCCTTAAATACGAATGCCCACATGAGCGTGCCCAGCCACACCTGTACCGATCAGTGGTGCTCCAATGGCAGTTCTGCCCATTGTCAAAGCCAAAGCAACGAACGTCAAGAACAAAGGCAATTACTAACGAAATAAAGCTGGATTAAAAAAGAAAGAAAGAAAAGAAAGAAAGAAAGAAAGAAAGAAAGAAAGAAAGAAAGAAAGAAAGAAAGAAAGAAAGAAAGAAAGAAAAGAAAGAAAGAGAGAGAGAGAGAAAGAAAGAAAGAAAGAAAGAAAGAAAGAAAGAAAGAAAGAAAGAAAGAAAGAAAGAAAGAAAGAAAGAAAGAAAGAAAGAAAGAAAGAAAGAAAGAAAGAAATCAAAACTCAAGAACAAACACCTACGCTAATGACAAAAGCCTGGCCTGGATGGCTACAGACATCCTGAACTTCAGGTATAACCCAGTGCTGTCACAGACGTGGAGAGTTCTCGCAACAAGTGTTTCTCTTTCTATCCATTTCTTTCCCATTCCCATATGTCCATTTTCTATTAATACCGGAGAGAAGCAGCAATGTGCGGAGAAACGCTACAAAATGTCAACCATTAACTCTTGGAAACCATCACTTCTCCCGCGCTCTGCACCGGCTCAGGGTTCCCCGTCAGGGATTCCCCGCTGCGCTGTGCAGCTCAGAAAACACGCCCCTGGTCCCTGCACGGTCCTCAGCCCACAGAACGCTGCTGCAGGTGACTCAGACACAAGTCCCTGACGCCAAGGCGCAGAGTGACCAGAAGGGGCCGGGTCGGTCCCTGCAGCCCGCACTGGTCTGCACCCTCCCGCCCCAAGGCTGGGGCCCTCCTGAAAGGCAAGACGCACACGGACACGCAGCTCCGCCCTGGGTTCGGATCCCGCCTCCCGCCCCGGACGCGGCAGCAATGAGGGGTCAGGCTCGAACCCCCCGCGCGTGCCGGGTCGCCCCCTCGGTGAGGCGCAGACCCCGCGACTACACGTCCAGCCGCTGGCCACCCCCGCGAGGCGCGCGGCCGGCGCCGGGCTTCGGTCGGAAGCTTCAGGAAAAGTAATTGCGGAGGTCGGTGCGATGGAAAGGGCGCGCGGGGCTGCGAGCGCCACGGGTCGCCCCGGAGTTCTCGCGCCCGGAGTTTGTAACTGCTGCCCGTCCTGCCATCGATCCCTCTCCGCCCCGGGCACCAGTTCCCGGGACGCGGCGCCAGCGGTGAAGGCCAGGCACCCCGCGCCCTCGCCCCGGAGTCCCGTGCCCGCCGGGCCGCACGCACTCACCGAGAAGCCGGCCCAGAAGGGGCAGGAGTGGCGGACGCGGGCCGAGGTGGTGAGCGCCAGCGCGGCGAAGCTCACAGCCACGATGAGACATCCGAGCGCCATCTGCGTGGCCCCGAGCACCAGCACGATGCGGGAACGGCCCGGGCACTCGCGCAGGCGGGACAGGCTGCGGGGCGGCGCGGCGGGGCGCGGCGCGCGGGGACCTCCGGCCGGAGGCATCGCGCCGGGCGCCCGCACGCCTCAGCCCGCTCCCGCCCGGCCCGACGCGCGCCGCCGCCGCCGCCGCTCACTGAGAGTCCGGGGCAAGTTGCGCCGGGGACGGGGACGGGCTCCGCGGCGGCCGCGCGCCACGAGCGGGCCGGGCCGGGCGGGGAGCCGGGTGCCCGCTGCCCGCGTCCATGCCGCCGCCGCCGCCGCTCCGCAGGGCCGCCGCGTCGCCCGCCCGCTAGCCGGCTGCGCCCTCTCCCGCCCGCCCCGCGCGCTCCCCGGCCCGAGCGCGGGTGCGAGCGCCGCTGCCGCCGAGCCGGGCACGAGCTCGCGGGGCCCGGGCTGGAGCGGGAGCGGGGACCCCGGTAGGGGGCGCGGGAGAGGGCGCAGGTGCGGCCCGAGCGACGGGGCCTCGGCTGGGCGTTCGCGGCCCCACGGGCGGCGGCGGCTCTGAGGGGGAGAGGACGGGACCCGGGCGCGTCAAGGACGAGGGCGGCAGGCGCCGACGCGCAGCCCAGGCCGGCGGCGCGGAAAGGGGCCGAGAGCCGGCCGAGGCTGCGTCCGGGCGGGGTGGGCGCGCAGCGCAGAGGCGGAGGATTCCGAGCGCTCGGCCGCGAGTGTGGCGGGCGCCCCTCGCCAGCACGGAGACCCGAGCCCCGTGCGCCGCCGTCCTGCGCTGCGGGGCTCGCCCGGGCCGGCCGCGAGAGCTGGGCTCAGGGCGGCGGACATCCTTGCCAGGATCACTGACCGGGCTTTGAGGGGGCAATTGGAAAGTTTGGGGGCCTTCCGGAAATCTCCCAAAACGGATCTTAAGGAACGATCCCGACCGTGACCCCTGAAGCCACCGGTACTGAAGGGCCTCTTGGCATGCACGCCGGGAGAACGCGGAGGTTCAGGGCCCTGCGGATGGGACCAAGTTGTGACTGCTGGGTCTGGGGGCGCTGCGCCCACGTGTGGAGACTAGGGGGGCTGCGGGCGGCGGACTGAAAGGCACAGGACCTTCCTCTGTGGGACCCGGGGGGAGATCTCCAAGGCCTCGGCTTGAAATGATCCCCCTCCGAGATACTGAGCCCTTCGGGGCTTGACAAGCTTCTATTAAAATGCAAATTCCGCCTCGGAAAGGCCGTTGCTCGAGCCGTTATCAGCCAACACTTCGCGGGATGGGATTTATTTTCCAATTTAACGGGATGGCCGAGGGATGAACAGGAGGTGGGGGTGTGCTGCAGAAAGAGGGGCTGACCTCAGAGCGCTGGCCCACCGCCAAACCTCTGCCTGCTTCCGTCCTTTATAACACACGGCCTCGGGCTGGCATTGTTTGGAGCCCTCCGGTAAAGGTAACGGATTCCAATTTCCTGCAGACGTTTTTTTTTTTTTTCTACCTAGAAAATTCACAGAGCCGCATTTTTTTTTTAAGGACTTGAAACAATACCACAGCATGATCCTGGACTGGCAGGAAATTAGATTCTCATTGTCCCCACCTCCCACGTTCCTCCATTCTTCCAACAAAAGTTCTCGCAGAACTATGGACACAGCAGGTTAATTCACATAGGCAATCCTGTGTGTCCGCAGGGTGAACCAAACCCCAAACCGAGCAAACCTGCTTCGCAGAGGCCCAAGGAATAGAGAACTGTCCAAGGTGTGTGCTGACACCACATGGTATTTTAAATCTGCACTGGGACAGCCTCCTGTGGTGTGGCAGTTTAGGCCACGGCTCACGACACCACATTCCATCTCACAACACTAGTGGCGTTCCGGATGCTGTGCTCCCTGCTAACCCACAAGGGAAGGCAACCAAGTTCGGTGTGAAAGGCTATCATGGAGTTCCTGCCTCCTGGGCCAGGCCTATCTGTGGAGTGAGCCAATGGGTAGATGCCACTCTCCCACTCACTCACTCTCTTCTCCCCTCTGCTTGTCAAATAAAAAATGAAAAATTTTAAGCTGTACTACACACCTGCTATATGCCAGTCACTTGGAGTCTAGTGGGGAGACAGAAAATGGCTCCAAGGTCAAGTGCAACTGGGTTCAGTGCTACAAAGCATAACACAGTGTGTGTCCGCCGCAAGGACGATAAGGAGATTTGAAAAGAGCTTTGTAATCACAGTATGGAAAGGGTTTGAGGGAACCCATGTAGCACATGGAGCCTTGCGAAGCCACTGCTGTTGGTCTGGCAGGAGGTGACTGATATGTAGGGTCCTGGGATGAAGACCCAGTCACCCAGTACTCTACGTTGGGAAGGAACCAACTGGCGTCACCCCGGGGGCAAAGAAATAAACCAGACTTCCCTTTGGTTTCAAGTGCCTGGGAGTCCCAACCCTGGATATGGATGAAAGTCATTCTGGAACAGTTAAGCTGCAGAGGCTGCTAAAAGCTAGAGAAAAGTAACATCAGCCTAGGCATCGAATTGCTGCTATGAATATCATTTTTAAATTTCATTTCCCCTGAACTTCCTTAAGGTGATAGAGGACATTTAGGTAAGACCGTACAGCTTACGCCAAAATCAACAGCAAATGAATAGTTCCCCCAACATCAGAAATTCAAAGAGATGTTTGCATTCACCACTGCTACTCAACACTGAATTAGAAATTAGACAAGAAAAGGAAAGCCATTTAAATATGAAAGGAAAAAGCAAAACTACGTTTTTTTTCTTCAGATGACATTATCCAGTGTATGGGAAATGCCAAGGAGCCCACGAGAAAGGTACTAGAATTTACGGACAAATTCAGTGACATTACAAGGTGCAAGAGCAGCACACACAAAACAGTTGTGTTTCTGTATACCAAAATGAGACGCCTGAAAAAAGAAATTAGCAAAGTAATTCCATTATCTAAAAAGAATAAGATATTTGGAAATAAGTTTAGTCAAGGAGGTGAAAACTATGTGTGTTGAACACAAATTCATTTCAAGAGAAATTTAGTAGTTTGTTCAACTAATGATTTGCAAATTTGGGAAGCAGGAAATGTTTTGGAGATTCCACTATGTGGGCACTGAGTGTAACTACTGCAAAATACTGCTGAAAGAGACTCAAGACCTGAAGGAACGCAAAGACATACCATGTTCATGGAAAGGAAGAGAATGTTCAGAGGGCAATACCCCAAAGGCTGCATGGCTTGACTACTAGACCCATCCAAACTCCTGAGCTCCTTCGTGTAGAAATGGAAAAGCCAATCCTAAAATTTGTGTGGAATTACAAGGGCCCCCCCCCCCAAAAGCTGCACAGACTTTTTTTAAAAGAAAAAAAAAAAGTTAAGACTAACACTTGCAGAATTCAAAATGTACAAGGTTATAATTAACAAAATTATGTGGTCTTGGCATAAGATAGAAGTACAAACGTACATTGCTGAGAACTCATAAATAAATCCATATGTCTAGGCCAACTGATCTTTGACAATGGTACCAAATCTGTTTATGGGGTAAAGAATAGGCTCTTCAGGAGATAGTGCTGGGACAACTAGATTTACACATGTAGAAGAAAGAACTTGGACCTACATTATAGGAGCAAAACCTATACAACATCTAGAAGAAAACACAGGTATAAACTAATTAAGAGCTTAGACCTGCCTGCGGATCTTAGATTTGACAACCAAATCATAAGCAACAAAAGAAAAAGTAGATAAATTATATTTCCTCAAAATTTAAAACTTCTGTTCCTCAAAGAACAATGTCAAGAAAATGGGGGGTGGAGGATGGAAGGAGTTGGTACTGTGGCATAGCATTGAAGCCACTATCTACAATGGCAGTATCCACTATCTACAATGAGTATCAGTTCAAGTCTCAGCAGTTCCACTTCCAGCCCAGCTCCCTGCTAACATGCCTAGAAAAGCAGCAGAGAATGGCCCAGGTCATCGATTCCTGCCACCCTTGTGTGAGCCCAGGAGTGAGTGGCTCCAGGCTCCTGGCTTCAGACCTGCCTAGCTCTGGCCATTGTAGCCATTTGCAGAGTGAACCAGCAGACAGAAGACAGATCACTGTCACTCCCTCTCTTCCTCTCCCTCCTTCCTTGTACGCTGTGCCTTTCAAATAAATAAATCTTTAAAAAGAAAAAGAAAGAAAAATCTAAAAGTGAAAAGATATGCTATGGAGATAAATATTTATTATTATTTTTTTTTTTTATTGGAAAGGCAGATATACGGAGAGGAGAGACAGAGAGGATGATCTTCCGTCCGATGATTCACTCCCCAAGTGAGCGCAACAGCCGATGCTATGCCGATCCGAAGCCAGGAGACTCTTCCGGGTCTCCCACGTGGGTGCAGGGTCCCAAAGCTTTGGGCTGTCCTCCACTGCTTTCCCGGGCCACAGGCAGGGAGCTGGAAGGGAAGCGGGGCTGCCAGGATAGAACCGGCGCCCATATGGGGTCCCGGGCATACAAGGCGAGGACCTTAACCAATGTGCCACCGCGCCGCCCGAGATAAATATTTAAAAAGCATTTATTTCACAAGGGATTAATATCCAGAATATATAAAGAATTCCTGCAACTCAATAACAAGAAGACAACCGATATAAAAACAGGTATATTACTTGAACAGGAATGTCTTTAAGGAGAATAAACAAATAATATATGAGCATATGACTAAAAAGAAATGCTGCTAATTGGTCATTAGGGAAGTACAAACTGAAACCAGAATGTCATGACACTTCACAAAGAAGGGAAATGCAGACGCACATTGTACCATGAACAAAGCGAGAGGTCATTATGCCAGGTAAAATAAGCCAGGCACAGAGGGACGGGGCTGACTGCGCTGACACCAAGACCCCTGTGTCGGCAGATTCACAGAATTGGAAGGTGGCGGTCAGGGCCGCGGCAGGAGCAAGCGTGGTTAGCGTGTGACAGGTACACGGTTTTACATGGGACACAGGAGAAGCTTCTGGATATAACGACGGTTGTGGTTGCACACCCACGTGATTTGAACTTCACACCAGGGATCTGCACAGCTACAAGTGGTTACCGTGTTAACTGTGCATTTTATCATGATTTCAAAGACAATGAAATACCCCTTCACACTCTTAAGAATACC